GTCGATAAACACATTTAGGTGTGGTGAAATAGTTTTTCTTTTTTAATCTCTTCGATACCCCGGAGCACAAAGGAACCAACCCCTTGTGTTACCAACTAGGCTACCACATCTTTGGAAATAGTTTTTATACGGATTACTATATAACTTACGTGCCGCAATGGCAAAACAAACATCCAATGGAAATTGGTCATACGTACAATCCTATATATGTATATATGGTTTAAAATCAATTTTGTATTTGTTAGTGGAAGGAACAGTTAAAGTTTAGCTGCCCCGAAATTTTTTCTTACTTTGATTTTTTTTCTTTCTAATTTCATGGATTTTGAGAAACAGATTGTAAGGTTTGAGATTTTGAAGATATTATTGTTAAATTCGTTTTCGACTAAGATATCCTATTAACTAAAAGGGACTATTTGGGGTTGATGGAGCAACAGCTTACCATGTCACATTTTTTTGTTGTCGACAAGATAACTTATTATTAAACATTAAGGGTCCAAGTGACTACACAAGGAGACTTATTTATCCTAGCATCCTTAGCTAAAAGATCAGCATCAGTATTTAAAGTTCTAGAAACATGGAGGAAATTGAAATTATAAGACTCTTTTGCAAGCTTGATGATGTCTTTCAGATACGTAGAATAATGCTGATGTTCCCATCTCATTTGGCTTTGAACTCTATTGATGGCTTGAAGGGTTTTGTATAATGCAGCAGAGTCACCACAAAATGTAACACGTCGGTAACCTAGCGCTTTAACCTTATGTATGGCCATACTCAGAGCTTCAGCTTCAGCTTCAATGGTTGTACTCAGTGGCTGAACAGATTGACGACCTCGAACAATTTCCATTGCCTCCTTATCATAAAGAATCCACCCTATTCCAGCTTGCTCAGTAGGAAAAGTCCAGGAGGCATCTACAAAACATCAGCAATTATTAGCATTCCGAACTATGTGTGAATACGTAGTAGCTGATTCTTGGCAAGGGTGATACGTAGTAGCTAACAATGTCACATACAAGGCTACAACACA